GAATGTTAGTAAATGGGATACAGAAGATGCAGGAAGGTATCTAAGTGTAGTTAACATATATTGTATGTAATTCACAAAAATTCTATAAAAACTAATTTAAAAGAAAGGAATGCTCTTAGTTAAAATGACATATGCAGTTAAATTCTATTCTCACCCTTGTATGAAACCATCAACTCATTTGATTAGGAATAAGTGAACCCTTGATGTGTGAAATAATGATGTTCATTCATTGGTAAACCTGTCATCACAAACACCTCACACAGTAGATAAGCTTCAAAAGCATAAAAATGGGTTTCTGGCCTTGGATTTGTGTACAGAGGCTCCACTGGGTCTATAGACCAATGCCCACAGTAATGTTAATTGTCCCTAAATATAATTTTATTGAGTACTTGGTAGTTCATTGAACTTTTTCAATGATTCTGGACCTTTTGGTAAGATCGATCATAGTAAAGAAAATCAGAAATCTTTGAAATCTCTATCCCCTCTCTGATCAAGTTAGAAAATCAAAATCAGTACCACTTAAGTTGGATAACACAAACTAGTAGTGTTGTCAACAGGCGAAATGCAGAATGACAACTTAGTAGTTTTTGCCATATTGCATGTAATTCATGAGCTTGGCCATTAAAAACAAAAGATTCTTAACAAGATTGAACTTGACTCTACAAAGTTTATCCAAGATATCTCATGATTGCAGCTGCTTTGCAAAATGTGCAGCTTTGCTAGAGCAGACTGTGGTTGAGAACATGGTATGTTCCCAGTGATGGAGCTAATGGGCTGTCTTCATTCTCACACAATTAATTCTTCTCATCAGGAAAAGAGGAACACAAACAAGATTAATTCATGTGAGCTGAACCACAGTGCGTTTTCACAGGCTTGTTTCATGTAAATCCTGGCCCAGCGTCTTTGGTTTTATCTATGTTTATGCTTTTTGAACTTGATATTGGTGCTAGGTATTCCTCATTTCTGCCCACTGTGTTAATAATTTGCCTTTAGTTGGTTTCTGTTCATCTTGTCCTTCTTAAAGCTACAGTTAACTTTTTCAGTCATGATTTTTTTAAGCCAAATTTGACTCTTGTGATATTTAATATGAATTGTCAATTTATTAGGATGTAAAAATCACTCAGAGACAAACCTCTGGGCACGTCTATGAAAGAGTGTATGGGTTGGATTAATGAAGGTGGGAAGACTCGCCCTAAATATGAACAGCATCATTGCAGGGACTGGATCTCAGACTGAATAAAAAGGAGAGTGCGCTGAGCACCAACCTTCATTTCTCTCTGCTTCCTAACTGAAGACTAACTGAAGACATGGCTCTCTCCCTCCTGCTGCTGGCACCACACTTTCCCTACCTGGACTCTACCTTCAAATGGCAAACCAAAAAAATAAAAGTCCTTCCTTCCTTACATTGCTTTTAACAGTTTCCCCCAATAAAATCAAGTAATTGGATATCAATTTGGAGTCTATACAGATTCAAAAATACATTTGAACTTTTGTTTTTCACCAGTTAGCAGTCTTGTAATATTTCACATAGGTCAAATATTTTCTTCAAATAAGATTTTTTGTACTGCATTCATCTTCATTCCTTTAACACTGCTCTTAAAACAAACTTGATCAAAACGCATTTTGTCTTTGATTTGAGAAGTACATCATGGCCATCCCTCTCCTTTCCCGTCTCCAAATCACCTATTTCCTCTCATTCATCCCAAACTAACACCTTTCCTTCTATAGTGGTCTAACCACATTGACTTGCCTCTGTTCTCTGTTGAGAATACACTACACAACCATTGAAATTGCCCAGTATGCTCCTACAGGCTTTCTGAATAAAATTTTTCAATGTCAATATTACTAATAATTTATTATATATCATTTATATATTAATGTTTTATAATTTATTTTTTAAATTATTTTTAATTTTTTTTTGTGTGTGTATGAGAGTTTTGCCTCCATGGATATAAGTGCACCACATGTGTGGAATGCCTGCAGACACCATTGCTCCAGCTTCTATATTGATGTTTTAAAGGCTATATTATCTTGGGGCTGGAGAGACAGCTTAGCAGGTAAGAACGCTGGCTATTCTTGCAGAAGACCTAGGTTTGAATCTCAGCACCCACGTGTCAGCTAACAACCATCTGTAACTCCAGTTCCAGGGAATCCATTGCCCTCTTCTGTCCTCTGTGGGTACTGCAGGATGTGAGTGCAATAACACACATGCAGAAATAACACTCATACACATAAAATAAATAAGTTTTTTAAAGGATATATTATCTTGATTAGTTTAAGAGTCTAAAGTTTAAGAGTGTAAAGAATCATAGATTCTAAAAATCTAGAAGATAAAATTTTATGATGTTGTTACTTCGGTGTTATAGAAATAACAGCAAATCTCTCTTACCTTTAAGTCCTCTGACGGTAGGTACAAAACCGCCTCTGTAGAGTCTTTTAATTCAGCATCTAAAACAAAGCTTTCCTTAGGTATTAAAGAGATTACTGGGTCTTTCTCTTCAATCAGATGTCTAAGAACCCTTATGCAAGGTCGAGCCAGTCCTTTCAGTATGATGTAAAATCCATCATTGCCAATCACTGAAAGAAAAAAAAAAAAAAGATTACAGCTATTACTAACACATGTATTATATCTGATATACTTCTAGCAAATCCTTTCCAGTCTATAGTATCACAATAACCTCAGTGCACCACCTGAGTAGGCACAAGTAGATGAGTCAGATAACAAGGATTACAAAGGTGTGCTTAATGTGTTATTTTTAAATGATATTATATGCTAGCACATCATTCAGGGAACTGTAAAACTATAGAAGAAAAGGTTGCGCCCCTAGAGTAACATGTTACTATTAATATACATATACCATTATAATAAAAACAGGACTTTAAAAATCCTTAAACTTTAACTTCTCTCCCAAAATTGTCATTTTCCTATTTTATATAACAATACTTACATCCTAATAATTTTCACTAATCTTTACTCTGTACAAGAGAATGATGTACAAGCTTAATAACCAGATAGTTTGAAGATGTTCAATTTGTCCACCACTTGCCGTACTCTACATTAATTATCCACAACCTGTCTTCCAAGTTGGTTCCTAAAATTCAACTGTATACCTGAAGAACTTGCAGGTGTACTCTCTTGTGAGCACTTCAAATATGATTTAAATCCTGTCCGGGTTTTCTAAACTATAGTCCTTGTCCTGTGGAAATTCAATGGTACATTTCTCCATTTCACACCTATTTATATGACTTTGTGAATAGAGAGAATTCTTCAAGTGCTATGGGATTGCTATTTACACATGGCTCCTTAACTTTCTGTAAGCAGAAACTTTACAAATAGGTTTCAAGGGCAATTATGTTTTCATATTACCCTAAAAGTTACAAATTGCTCATCCTCTGATTTTTTAAATAATGAGGTTTTATTAACACAACAAACATGATAGATTAATTTTCTCCCTTTTTAAGCAAATATCTTGTGTGGATATCTGGGATTAAAACGGATCATAATCTAGGTAACACATGATCAGTCACTAAACATCTCATATGGGTCCTAAGGGAACTGAAGAAGAGCTAGGTATTTTATAACATCAATTAGGTGAACGTTGACTAATTATACATGGGAAAAATAAGAGAAAGGTATATTCAAAGGCATACACATCTATGTTCTCTTTCTGTGCAGATTTAACTGGCACTATTTAGCTTAGAGTAAAAGATACAGAAAGAGGCCGAGCGTGGTGGCACACACCTTTAGTCCCAGCACTTGGGAGGCAGAGGCAGGCAGATCTCTGTGAGTTCAAGGCCAGTCTGGTCTACATAGTGAGTTCCAGGACAGCTGGGGCTACAGGGAGACTCTGCCTCAAAAAGACAAATAAAAGATGTAGAAAGAGATGTGATGTGTGAACAATGTTTTTGCAAAGCCTTCTATTTGCTTTCTCAATGTGAATTTTCCTTATTTTCGTTTACTAACAAAATCACACTTTTATTGGATGCCTAGATGTTAAAAATATGACTTCCCACATATTCTTACACAAGTGTTTATGCATAATGATAAAATAATGAGAGAATTTTTTTCCAAGTATTCATAACCACTCCTTACTTGCTGCTGCTAACAACAGGGATATGATGTTAGGACCCAGACAAGCACCTTGCAATTAAAATGAAAAGTTAAGACTAGCAGCTGACCCATGCCTTATCATGATGTGTCATAAATTCCAAAACTTGTTTGAACAATTCGCTATTACAGAAAGCTGACAATAATATCTGTATGAATATTGCTGATTTCATTTAACTCTAATTAAAATTAATCCATGTGTTGCCAATATATGTAAGTATAGCATCTTGGGGAATATTATTCTTATATAAGACATTAGAAGCAATATTTAAAGATAGACATTTTGGAAAACAAATAGCTATAGATAAGAAAACCTTCAGAAAGGTAACATCCGAATGCAATGTTGTTTGGTTTGCAAATATATATTTAAATAAGCCAGAAGTGATTAAAAAATATTGTGTGATTGTGTGTGGATTTATATTTTAACATTTCACATCATGTGTTAAAAGCAATTTCAGTTATCTCTGATTCAAAGTTCATTGAACATTGGCACTTAATGCACATGTGATAATTACAAAACAGGGTTAAACTGGAAGTAACATGTGCCAAATACAAATGTGGTCACTTGGGGATCTTCTCAACCTTCCCAAGAAAATATTCCTTTTCCTTCAGGCTTTTATCCAATGACAGTAAAATTTAGTAAGGAATCAAATTTAAAATAATATATTCAGGACACTTTTTGCTCCTAGCCATCCTAGGTCGACTAGTTCCGGGGGACTATGTGCATCTCTCAAAATGTCCTATAACGGTGGTGGGTCATCTGTCCCCTTTATCAAGGAGGCCGAGGAGAAACCACCAGATGGACTTGAACCAGTGTCCAGTCTATAAAGAGGAGGGTCAACACAGAGGAATTATTTCTTCCATGCTTCCAAGTGAAGCCAACCATGGTCGAGCTGGACCTTTGACTTATCTTCACATAGGTGGAACTGCTAACAGAAAGGAGCCAGGGGCTCCTCCCAAGCCCATGTGACCCCTGAGGAACAGATCCTCAAACGACCTTAAGAGTGAAAATAAATCGGTTTATCTGGACCAACTGTATAGCCTTAAACACCCAAAAGGAAAAGTATAACCAAAGATTAAATGGGCCAACATAACTTAATAAGAGTCCATATGTATAGCTAAAGGCTACAGAACAAGCATCAATGCCAGATAGGCAATATCTTCTTTTGAGTTGTTGGCCAGGGTGGCCAGAGGGATTCCCAGATAGTAACCCAGCATAGAACTTGGAAAATGAACAGCAGACCCCAATCTTATCCAAAAGAATG